TTTTTCAGATTCATGGTCTCATCTTCTTGAAGTAGGAAAATACTTGCAAATCAGTTACTTGATTCTTAGCAATTGTTCAATGATTAGTTTATGTGAGGAGAGTAATATATAATTCCTCAAAACCTAATTTGGTGCAACCAAGTTTAACATTGAAATACACTCTGTCTTTTCAATAAGAATGTCTCTGGGTGAGATCTTCTATGAAGTTCTAGTAGAACTATGTAGAGATTCTAGGTTGGATGACTCCACTGAATGAGCACTACTCCTGTTTTATCTGGAAAGAACTAATCAGACTCAGGATTTTTAAACAAACAAAACAAATAAATAAGACATAAATTTTAGAGGGTGATGTGATGGAAAGTTGCTGGTATGACTAACTTGTCGAGAATGGGGATTTGATACTTTCAAAACACATTGTATACATGGATAAAATTTTAAAATAATAAAAAAAATCAAAGATCTGTGAAAGAAAAATGACGGTGAAAATCTTGATGTTACGAGCAAACAATGGTTATGAACGGCAATTTTTTCCAGTTTCAACTATTTTCATGTGTAATAAAACTCCGATGGTAAACAAGCAAAAATGGGGAAAATATTAGCAGTTATTCCTTTGGGCTAGTCATTTATCTAGTTGCTTGCATTTCCAACACAGACATTTATTACTGTTTTTATTGAAAATGGCAGGTTGAACAAAGAATAATATTGCTACTCTCTATGTCTTATAGTCATGTAACCAAGAAGTAGTACATAGATGACAAGACACTGTCAGGGGAAAGAGACACATTTATGTTTTCTCAGAACATAAAAGAGATAAGAAATTCTTCCATTTGACTACCTTGTAACATTCTTAGAAACATTAAAACCTTCATAAGATGCATATTTAAAAATTAGATTATATAGCTGATTTGAAAAAAGATATTTATTTGATCATACATTATATTGAATTTTTGAGAAGCAATAGTCAATTTGTCAAAAAGATGTCCAAATTATTTATATTTCATGTAAGAGATCCAAGTGCAAAAGGTCCTATTCAGATAAAGTATATATAGAGAGCCATAAATGTAAGTAGGTGGAACAGAATGTGATGATAATTACCAAGACCCTATATTCACTGTCCACTTCTGCAACAGATAATGATGAATAAATAAATAGAAATTTTACTCAAATAATACTATGAAAAAATCATTTATGATAAAAATTATGATACTTTCAAATCACTGCAAAAGTAAAATATATGCTTATACATTTATGTATTATTTTCAAAAGTACATATACTATATACTAAGTATATCTAAATGTGTCTCTAAATTTTATTTGTGAAAACTCCTTTTGTTTTATTATTAGCTTCAGAAAAGCAAATGTTTATTCTTTTGTTTTTTTGGGTGTTATTCTTTTCTGCTAAGTGATACTTAACAAAGGTTTTCCCTTAAACAACAATTCAGCATTGTGTACCACTGGTAATTTTTATATCATTATCACACACACACACACACACACACACACACACACACAAATCTTGAATTATTAATATGCAATTGTCTTACTCAGGGTTTCTATTGCTGTAAATTGACATCATGACCACAGAAACTCTTATAAAGGGAAACATTTAATTGGGTATTTATGGTTTCAGATATTTAGTCCATTATCATTACAGGAGGACATGGTGCCAGAGAAGGAGCTGAGAATTCTACATCTTGAACAGGAAGTGAACTAAGGCACTGCATGTGGCTTCATCATATATGAGAACTCAAGCCCAGCCCACAGTGACACACATCCTCCAACAATGCCATACTTATTCCAAAAATGACACTTCCTAATAATCCCACTCCCTATTAGCTCATGGGGGACAATTGCCTTCAAAATAACCATATTATATTTGTTCCATGTAGCTATACTAACAACAAAATAATGCTATACAGAAGAGCATTAAGTCAGCCTTAGAAGACATAGGTGTGTAGGTATGTGTTCATGTATGTATGAGCATTGCAATATATATAAATACAACCTGCTCTATCAATATAATGTTTGTGACATGTATATGATATAGGGTTAATAACTTGGTATTAAATAACCTGTGGTAATTTACCTGGGGAAAACTATTTCTCCCGTTGTCAACATTCATTTCTTGCCTGTAGTTCAATGTCTAGTCTTGACACACTTTTAATAGACACTCTTTCCATGTTAACTCACACACACACATATGTATATATACATATATTCATATATACATGTTTATATATGTATACATGCATACATATATAAACATGTATATATACATGTATACATATATACACATGTATATATATTAAACTTTGTTAGGCATTCAAATTAATGAATTTTCTTGGGTGTAGTTTCTCTGAAACTTCTAAGGGACAAAATCCCACGACAAATGTTTTGCTCCTAAAGGAGTTTTGAAATATATGTATGAGATTAGAAATTTCCACTGCAGGATTTTTTGTTCTCTAAATTTTTATTGGCTGTTTCCTGTATTGGTATCTGTCTATTACAAGAAGACTGAAGTGTGAAACCTATATCATCTGTGGCTGTGAGGATGAATATTTAGAATGTAGTTAGAAATTATAGTGCTTTGGAAAAATGATAGTTGTGTGTTATTGTCCAATTTTCTTGACATTTTGTAGACCCAGGTAGTTTTCAGTGGGAAGAATGATTGAATATTGGGGACATTAAGTCCAATTAGATTGCTGTTGGATATGGCCAATGATTGCATGCCAGTATTGTGTACTTTGATATATAATGTCTTGGTGTATCATAGCTTTAGTTCATAGGCATCATAGCTAGGAGGGAATTGTGACTGATCTTTTTTGAAAGCTTGCATGGAGCCCTCTGTTATCATAAATACTAATTGTCAAATTAGTAGACTCTCAGGCCTAATTTAGGTTCTGAAGTTTGCATATTCAAAGTCATACCTTAACCAATAGGGATTCAATTCCATTGTATAGGAGGGAACCAAGGGCAATGGTCAAACCTTACATTATTTTGGACGTCTCCAGTACAACAACTCACAAAGGGGTTCTCAAGCTTCCTGTTGACTTTTATATCATATAGTCTATAGCTATAGTTCATGCTGTCATCTCAGATAAGATTTTTACTTTATGTTGGTATATATTAAATAATTAATTCTATTTTTCCTATGGTTTTAATAACAGTGATAGTTCATTTCCAGTTTAATTAACTGCACAAATTGAATTTATTTAATCTAAGCAAACACAAGTCTGTATTATTTATTCACATAATTGAAATATTTGATGAATTTAGAAAGAGATTGTACTCTGTAAAATTCTAGAACTTGAAATAATTGAGTGAGTACAGAAAGAGTTTAAAGGAAAAATGAAAAACTACATGTATAACTTTTGAAAATTTACTGTTTTTGTAGCTCCTGTGAAAGTAATATGTTAATATAACAAAAATCCACATAAAAACTCAGGGACTGAATCAAATGTATGCTTATCATAGTCACATAGCAAGTTCTCTACAGAGAAATTGTTTTAGCCAGTTGAACTTTCCATTTCACAGCTAGTGAAGGCTAGTGAAGCTCCATCTAACAGACCAAATGCTGCAAAGCATTCACCTTCACTAGATCATCATGCACATGGCAGGTTGATGTACAACCACTCCCTGTATCTCAGTTGAAGAACAATTGTCTTCCATATAAAAGAAATCCATAAGGTAAACTTTTCTACTTCAACTGATTGTCAAGAAATTCAGGTAATCGTGATATATATTTTGTCATTGGCAGGGTAATGATCTTTGTGGAAACATTGGTTTAATAATTTGAATTTGAATTTTATTTGATCAATTTCATTATTATATTAAAAGTAAAATATGAATGAACACTATTCCTAATTCCAAACCCAAAAATATGTAGGATTCATTTATTAATATAATATAATTTAAATTATATCTTAATAGGAAGTATTCAAACTTAATTAACTAAATTATACCCTGATCAGTGAATTATATTTTGGAATGATAAAGATATACTTATAACAACATATTTTGACTAATGTATATCCACAATGTTTATGCACAATTCTATGCAAAAGCTATTGCCTTGAGAACAAATAACTTTGTTTTTTTTTGTATTTTAAGTCTTCTGATTTTGTTTTATTTACAATTTTTTGTTCTTTTTTTTTTTACATTCTAGCTGCAGCCTCCCACATCATCCTCCTCTCTCAGTCCCTATCCTCTATTTCTTCCCTCCCACTCCCAGTTACCTCCTCTTTCATCACCACCCATTAATTTCCTCCTTTACTCACTTATAAATACACGTAGCTTGAAAAAAAAAATCACTATTCTACAATTCATAGACTCAGAAAGACTAGGTAACAAGCAGACATTATGGAAGGACACCAAGGGCACCTCTGCATGAGGTTAAACTTGAGCATAAATAAAATAGACAAGCAAATACAGGAGAAGGAGAACTTTCCAAAAACATGGAGGAGGAGGACATGCAAAGGGTAAGGTCTTCAAATTAATATGATTACTGAACAGGGACACATCTTGCCTGCTGAGCTGGTGGAAGAGAAAGAGCTTGGAAGTTGCTGGATTCTAAAAAGTATATGTGTTACCACTTCAAGTAATAAAATTCATGGTCAATTTTAGATAGTGGCTCAGGAAATGAATTTATTTACAAATGGAAGCAAAAATAATAATTATTATTTAAGTCCTATTTTTCTAGCAGTTTAAAGAGTATGTCCATGTTACTACTTTGGAAAAATTAGTGATTATATGTTAGTTACATTGTTTTTTCCCAAATAATCCTTATATGTGTTAGATTTGTGCTGATTCAAAAGGAGGAAAAACAGCGGGAGATATGCTTTTTGTGCTGTGAGGTACCTTTTGTTGTTGTCTATTACATCTCAGCACTTTCAGAAATATTTATCATCAAATGCATAGTATTGTGTGAGACAATCACACTCAACAGAATGAACATCATAAAAGTCTGATTTACATAATAAAATCGATGTTTTGTTTATCAGGTGACAGAAACACGGACTGGTCCTCTTGGCTGCAGTAACTATGACAATCTAGATTCTGTCAGCTCTGTTCTGGTTCAGAGTCCTGAGAACAAAATTCAGTTGCAAGGTACGTAGATAAATTTTCTTAATTATTTATGAAATGGTACACAATCCAGTTACAATTTCTTTCAGAGTTTAAAAAAATAAGTCATTGGTCCATGGATAGGTGGCCCTAATGTATGTTGCGCTTTTATAGAGGACCTGAGTCAGGTTCGTCACCTTAATATGGACTCTCATCACTTTCATTATCCTCTGTAATTATTTATTCAGAGGCTCTGAAATCTCGGTCGTTTGGGGGAATATGCAGTCTTGAGTACATAACCGCAAACAGACATACACATTGACATGACTAATAATAATAAAAATATCTTAAAAAAGAAAAAAACATGGTATAGATGGCATTTAAAGATATTGACGAGAATAATCTATCAATTTTAATAAGTCATCAACTAATTTTTCTTCACAAATTAAATAATAATAGTGATTAAATCTTATTTTTTTCTTGTAAATGGCAATTGTTCTAGTAAGAAGAAATGTATATATGCATCATGCATAGTTCATGGCTTTTTTCTTATGAAATTTTGTACAATCTTTAATCCTGTCTATTCATATTATAAAACATGCTAGGGCTAGGCAATTTAAATTTAACTTAACACAGCAGAAAATGTTGTCTTAGGTTTCTGACAAATTAAACATTGATTGTATTATCGCTAAGTTTTTGGATTTACATTATTCCCATTCAGATTGATTTTGTGGTTGGATGCATGATTTGTCTGTTTATTCAGTAGAATTTTGGAAGATGATTAAATGCAGGATGCTATAATAAAATGATAGGTAAGTATATGTGTGATCACAAAAAGACACAAGTGTGTGTAGTTCTTCATTCTTAAAAGCAATAGACAGAGCAAGCGCCTAGATACAAGTTAGTGGTGAAGTGTGCTTGTTGCTCCTATGGAAGAATAGGACTTGCTTTCCCAAATCTATATGGCAGCTCATAACTTTATTTGGTTTCCTATGAAATCATTTAGAAATTGCAGCCTATTTTCCAATTCTGCATTGTGAAGATAAAATACATGCAGAGTAGGTTGTTTAAAGTATCTATCTGTCCTGTATGGTTAATAAATACTATTTACTTCAAATCTTATAAAATGGTGCAAACTGTTTTTTTATGGTTTTTAATTTTGTTTCTTTATATAATTTTTAATTTAAATTTGAAATAAGCTTGTTTTACATATTAATCCAGTTACCCCACTCTCCCTTTGTCCCGTTCCCACCACCAACCCCTTTCTCATCACTTTTCTGCTCCCCTTTTTTTTGATGTTTAAATCAGATGATATTTATCTTTTATTTGAGGCTTAAAGTTATTGAAATATTTATTATATAAAAGAAAATTGCAATTCAAATACCAGTTAATTCTTGTTGGCTATTTCTTTTTAATATGTGATTTGGTTTCTTATCAGTATATTAACTCTGATTAAAGAAAAACAAATATATAAAAATGTAATCTACAATGGTCATTTATTAACAAAATGCTGATTTTATTTTGTATGAATCCTTGAACAGTTACACAACATAAAAAGAACCCCAGGACAGATCAGATGGTCAGTGAGTGGAGACACATTACTCCAAGCCCAACAATGGAATTTGGTTCCTGGGGACCAAATGATCAACTCTCATGTTGTCTATCCACTGCCTCCAGATACACACACACAGTTACAGGCACAAATAAATAGAAACAAACACATATATGCACATACACAAAAACATGCAAGCACCTGCACCATAATCGAAAAATATGTTAGATGTCTGTATTGAAAAACAGGATGAATTGAATAAGCCCTTCTTTACATTTTAGTACTTTATATGTTAATGTAAACAACAATATCCCATTCTCTATTTCACTTTGCTTTGCTTGCCAAGCCCCTATTTTTTCTTTTTTTTTTTTTTATATTTTATTTGCACTTGAATAGTATAAATCATTTCCAGAATCACCGTAGGAAATTATCCTCTAAACTTCTTATCCCATTGTCAATTGTTCACTTGTCAGTTTGTATTAACAGTACAAATTTTGTTTCTATCATCCTTCTAGCCCCATTTAACATCATCCCATTATTTTAAAAATTGTGGAAAGCAGTAACATTTCTGTATCAGTGACATTATTCTCTATCCATTTTCATGCTACTTTCCCCCTTGTTTGTCTATACATCTGCTGAAAACCTTATGTGGCAAATGGAAGACACTTTATGTCTTTATGTCTTTCCACAATTCCTTATGTAGATGGTTTAGTAGATGAGTATAGACAGATGGACATAATCCTTATGAATATAAGGGGAAGAGTATTTTGCTTTGCTTTGGGTTTCTAAGCAGGAGTGAATTTTCAATTCAAATGGATCATGTTTTGTCATTGGAATTCTGATATATTATTTGAAGAAGCAAAAAATATGGATTGTTTCTGTAATTGCTGCCTTACATATTTGCTCTTATTGAAGAGAAGTCACTCCTGATGCAGAGTTTTATTAGGAAGCCACAACCATAGCATCAAAATTAATGAAAAAACACGGTTAAGGAACAACAAAACCAGTATAAAACTGTAATGACTTACCCATATAAGTAAAAAATTATTAATTCTTGCCATATATTCAGTAAAACTACTTCAAAAATTTTAAATATTTTTATGTAAGTTATAACACATAATAGGGCTGGAAAGCAAGTAGTTATTGCTACCTTTCCAGAGCACCCAGGTACACACAATGGGCAGTTCACAGAGATAGTGAAGTACAAGCACATACATATATAACATAATAAAGTAGGAAATACAGTGTAGTTACGTTGGCTTCACAAATTGAATAGATGACTCTAAGATAACAGTTAAGAATAAGCAAAAGATATCTAAGGTTAGGAAATAGTATTTATGTAAAATTATTTAAATAAAAGAAAAAGAATCTCAATAAGGAGTTTACCCTTGATTTGAAAGCCATTCAATAAACTTTATTCTCTCAAATTACTTGAGAAGTTTTTCATGATAAATTTTATTACAAAGATTTTTAATTCTAAGATTTTCATTCTAAATTTATTACATTACAATTATTATGTATATAACAGTATATATTATAATTAAGTTGATAATAAATTATGATGTGCAGTCTAAATTTCTTGGTAAAATTTTCGTTTCAGGTAGTTTTAGTATTGAAGTATAATTGTGATTAATAAAAAGTGAAGTATAATTGTGATTAATAAAAATGAAATATTTAGGGACCATGGAATTTTCAGTTCAAAGATAAAATTTCTATGTATCTTTATACAGAATTGCACAAGCACTCTGCATAGCTTTTGTATATAGGTCTTATTGCACATTTATTGTTGATGTTCATATTCTAGTTCCTTCACATTTTAAAATTTCATTACATGTACCACTTTGAAGTAATTTTTCTGCCTCTATCTTTTCCATCACTCTTCTAAAATTCACCACCCTTGTCTGTAATTATTTTTGTTATACATTAATGTAAGTTTGTAACTATACAAGTACCATCTGCTGGGTTAATGCAATGTTGTCTATATATACATGTTTTGGGCTGACTACTTAGGACTACCTATCATGTGTCTGGTTGCTGCTGAAGATTCATTCTTTCTCTTTCAATAGCCAATGATTATGTCTCTTCATTTGGGGTTATTTTGAGATTTTCTAATTCTCAATCTATATTGGCTTTCCAGGCAGTACACTTTTACTGTTTTGTTTTGGCGATTTTATTGTTTATATTTGTTAACAATAAAACAACACTATGAAATATTTTGAATCTCTCATTGATTTATGTGTGATTTCTTCAATGATCATCTTTTGACATAAAAATTTTACTTCATCATATTGAAAGGTGATCATATGTCACATGAATGGTCAAATGCTGTCTTTAGTGAACTGTTTTGTTTCTCTGATAATGCTAATGAAATTAATGACCCAATTAGTAATATCTGGTAAATTACATGTATCAGCACTCAGTTGTTATAAATTTATATCCTATTACATTACTGCTATAATTTTATTTTATTAGCTATACTGCCATCAATAGGAGAGTATCATGTCAGTCATTTTCACATTCACAGGGTACCAAGCAATAGTATTTTAAATAAACTTTCTAAAAATATTTCTATTTAAATTTTAATTGAAAAATTTAAGATACAACATTAAATAAGCACATGTGTAGAATATACATACTAGCATGTATCCTACATGATAGGATATGGGTGCAGTTATCAATGTAATGTGAAATTCATTTTTATGAATATTAATACATGCTCTTCATTAACTCAGGCTCGTAAACAAATTTCAATGGTGAAGTAATGCATTGATTTTGTTACATAGGAAATACCAATACAATCAAACGTAATTTTGTATTAAACATCTACATAGTGCAATCATCACTTTCCCTATATTTTTACTTATTTTAACTAACTATTCCTTCTGTCTTGCTTTTTCCTTTTTTTATGTTTATGTATACATGGTGTATATGGGCTTATGTATGTGTATTCATGCTATGTGTGTACACATATTCCCTAATGTGAGTTCACATGTGTGAGCACAATTGTGGGGACATATATATTGAGTTAATTATTAACCATTGTCCTTTGCCCTTCCTCCATCACTTTTTTCTTCCTTTCTTCCCTCTTTTTTCTTTCATTTATTCCTTCTTCCCCTTTTTTTCTTTCCAAATTGGGTCTCAACTAGCTCAGGATGGCTTCCATCCTGATATATAAGTTAGAATGACCTAGCATGTTTTATCTTCCATCTTCCAGGCCATGCCCCACAATTGCTAGCTAGAATGACAACCATTTGTCATGGTGGGAGTCTTGGTTAGAATATTTCACTGATTTGTGTTTTGTTTTGATTTGTTATTAATTCTTTCATGCACAACATCCTGTCTGCAGTTTCGCTTGTTTCCACTCCTATTGGTACACTCCCACACCTGCTCTCTTTCAGATTCATTAATTCTCCTTTCCACATCAGAAAAGAGCAGGCTTCCCAGATATATCAACTAAAGACTGCAAAGCAAGTTACAATAAAACTGGCAGAAACCTTCATGTCAAGGCTGGTCAAGGCAACAGGGGGAGGAAAGGGGCCCAAAGGTAGCCAAGAATCAGGGACAGCCCCACCCTCACTGTTAAGAGTTCAACAGGAACACAAGGCTACACAACCAATTTCCTGCATACAGATGACCTAATTAAAACCCATACAAGTTCTGTGTTTGTCACTTCGGTCTCTGTGAGCCCCTATAAACCCTGTTTAGTTGATCTGTAGGCCACATACTATTGGTGACCTTGACCCTTCTGGATCCTACAAGCAGTCCTTTTCCTCTTCTTCAGGAGTGCCCTGGTGTGGATCTCTGCATCTGTTCCCATTAGTTCCTGATGAAGGCTCTCTGATTACAGGGATTCTAGGCACCTTTCTTCTATAGTAAGAAATATTGGAATTGAAACTGTATTTTTTCTCAAAATATATTAAATGGAAAATTTCAAATGGAAATACCACTTCCCTAAAGAGATAGCGACTACCAAACTAAGAAAATAATGAAGTGTATTAGTAAGGATGACTTACACACAGCAAAGAAATAGACTGAATTGACTATGTCGGTCCATCTACTCCCTTTTTTGAAATTTTGTGCTTGGTCCTAAACAACAGAAACATATAAGGTAGACATTCTTGGTGTGCTGTGTTGAGATCTTCCTTCCTAGCAACCTTGCTGAACACTTAGAGCACAACTAGTTATATTATAATCTCTGGTGTGAAAAATGATAGTCTAAAAATAATATGAAAGTATTGAAATCAAGATGCAAAAAATTGTGAGCATGTGTCTTCAAATATATAGGCACAGTGTAATTTCTGAAAAACATAATCAAATGTACTAATTAATTACATCAAAGAACCACAGGATTGTTATGAAAAGTGTAAAGCACTAATCATTTCTGTAATTTTGAGATTCCATATTCATATAGTCTTTGTGTATTAAAATTATACAGAAAAGTTATTTTCCTAATGCAAGTTTTTAAATAGAGATAATTTCACATTTAAAAATACTAAGATTTTCTGTCTGTAATCAGTGTTATAAACAAGTGCTGCCATACTTTTGGTGCTGCAAACTTGAACATTTCATTTGTCTTTCAAGGGCTTCAAGTTCTCCTTCCCGACTATCTTCAGGAACGTTTTGTGCAGGCAGCCTTGAGCTACATTGCTTGTAATTCAGAGGGGGAGTTTATGTGCAAGGATAATGACTGCTGGTGTCACTGTGGTCCAAAGTTCCCAGAATGCAACTGCCCCTCCATGGACATACAAGCCATGGAAGAGAATCTTCTTCGAATAACAGAAACATGGAAAGCCTACAACAGTGACTTTGAAGATTCAGGTGAGATAAAGATTTTACTAACATAATCTCAGTCTTTGGTCATATATGATTAAAAGACTGCTTTCTCCTGTTGAAACAATAATTCACTTCATTGTTGGGAAGTTTTCATCTTTTTAGTGTTTTAAGATATTTATATTACACTTTTTATTGCTCACTTAGTATTTAGTATTGGTGTTTTGTATATTGCTTATGTGCTATTATTATCATTTCAGTATATCAGTTTATCTTCTAATATTCCTTATGTTTTACTGAATTCTCAAGAAGTCCTTGAGTTTCACTTGTTAGACAAACATTGCCAGCAGTTTTTTGTGTCTTCACATTCATAAGGCTCTCATGACTAATCACCTTAAACTGACTACTTTTAAAAATCATATTTAGAGTAATTTTATGTTAATGGTTGAAGCATTTTCTGTAACTTTCATATATTTATAAAGGAATATACATAGAATTTTCAAATTACTTATTGGGTACATAACCCATAATCATATACAACAACTTTAGGCATATATATTTAAAACTGCCAAACTTATAATTTAGCAAAATTAAAATATTTCTCAAAGAAAAATAACACTATTTAAAAGACCATGTATGATAATATATATAAAGCATGAAATATTGAAGGCTAATGTATGATTAATGGTAGAATACAGTCAAAATATGTTAGGCATGAATAACACACAAACAAAATGACACATGATATTGCACACACATGCACACACACACACACACACACAAGTAGAACTGGAGAGAGTTAATATATTTTGGTTTATTTTTTGTCAAAATAAGTAAACTGAAGCAAACACTAGATATTTTAGTATCAAAATAATAGTTGTTTACTATGACAAAGTTTTAGTTCACAAAATTGTATTTTATAGTTATTGCAGTTTTATGACTATAGGAAAAAATATTATGTTGTATAATTGAAAATTACAGGGGGAAAACCCCCAATATTACCATCCTAAAATGTCTTAATTACTGTATGGGGCAATGGATACTTTACTTAGTTACTCAACGTTAGTTCTGTTTACTTTAACCCTAAATTATGTATCATAATTTTAATTTGTCAATTTGTAGTGAAAATAATTTGAAAGGTTACAAAGATGTGTTAGAAGGGTAGACTTGACAATTGCAAAGGAACAGCTAGAAAATGTTAGAAAGAATGCTAAATGAACAAGCTGAGTTTCTGCAAGTTTTTTTCGTTGGGGCATGTTTATCAACTCTTGGCAGATTTCAAACCTGAGAAGCCTTCCTCGCACCTGGAAAATGCTTCTACTTCAGGGAAAGTTAACCTGAACAAATGTCTATTGACCATTTAAATTATATTGGTAATTTTGAATGTGCAAAGTAAGCAGAAAGTCTTTTTTTAATTTTCTTTAATTTCAATTCAGATATGAACACTAAAGGTTAGATAATTAAATTAATAACACCTGAATTATTCTAATAAAATATTTTTTATTTCTTTATTTATTTTATTTTTTTTTACTTTTTTTAATTTTTTTTTTATTTTGTATAACCAAGTCCATTTAAATGAAAACAAACATTTATAGACAATATTTGGCAATTTGGGCCAAACTACTTCCTACTGGTAAGGGGCGCTGTCATGGGGGATTCTAAGAAGATGCAGATATCCTGGCTGTAGTCTGCAAAGCTGCTTTGTCCAGCTGTTTTGAATGTAGGATCAACTGGTACTCTGTTTCAGGTGGTCTGGCTTGATCAAACCACATTAGTCTGGAAGGAATCCACAGTAATAAAATATTATGCAATGGATTCTGAAATATCACACAAATAGAAGATTTGAAATTAAAAATTGTGTGTGGTTATCTCAGAAGAAGAAGAAGAAGTATGAAGCAAGTATGATTACAAGCTTGATTCTGAAATTAGGAGATTAACTTGTACTTTCTGGACGGACCAATTTCAAGAGATGACAACACATAAATGCCAGTCAGCTTCACACACACACACACACAGAGAGAGAGAGAGAGAGAGAGAGAGAGAGAGAGAGAGAGAGAGAGAGAGAGAGAGAGAGAGAGAGAGAGAGAGAGAGAGAATGAGAGAGAGAGAAGGGTAGCTGAGAGACAGAAAGATATAGACAGAGGTATTTCTACTTTTAGGCTCTCTTTTCTGTTCCAGTGGGCTATTTTTTTCTCTATCATTGCTAATTCTGTACCTTGATTACAGGTCCTTTATAAGTCTGTAGCAGCATGTTTCTTTCCGTTTGCTTGGGTTTCTTTAGGTATTTCGTATGAGTGTATGTGTGTGTTCTATATATGACAGACAACTTCAGCCACAGAATTCTGACAATATGGCTGTCTGAAACACACCTACACAACAACACCATCTTTTGACCTTCTGGAAATGTTGCAGACAATTCATAGATGACAAGCTTTAGGAAATTGATAGCTGTTGAGAGCAGAATCAGTCTTCTCCAAGGAAAAGTCCCTGATAAGTTGTAGAATCTCAAGATAACATTCATGTGTTTGTGTAAAAAACACTACAACATTCAAAAAGTTGCAAAGTTTCAAAGAAGGGAGATGACAGCTCTATCAAAGCTAAAAATCAATGTTCTATGTAGTTGAAATTATGTTTATGTATATTTGTATATGTGCTTAAATATATGTGTATGCATATTTTTATGTAATAATAATAATAGTAATTAAAGAAGAATGTGTAATAAATTTGAGAAAGAGTGGTGCCTGTTACAGGGGTAATTGAAAGAAAAGTGTGATATATATATATATATATATATATATATATATATGTATATATATATATTTATCACAGTATCAAAAAATATGTAAATTAATAAATAATCAGGCCACTACAAACTTGTGATAAACTGATTCATTCTTCTCTTGTTTTTGTGTTTTGTGTATTCTTCTGTTTCCTCTTACCTGGTTGCCTCACTAGAATTTGTAGTGTTATGTTGAGTGTAAATAGTTAAATTGGATATTCTTACTTTGAAGAAGACCTGAGAAAGAAAACTCAGCTTTCCTCATCTTTTGAATTTTTAAAGTAACATAAAACTACAAAATATTAGTAAACCACATAGGACATATGATTTAAATAGAAAATATTTTAACAGTATCCCCACACTAAGGAAAATAAAAACAATATCATCAAATACTATATAAGCAATTTTTATAGTTGAAATGAGGGAATTAACATTTGAGATATACCATGAATGGAAGAAAATATTAGAAAATGATCTGTAAAGAAAATTAAAGGTGCAAAATACCAATAAAGGAAAATGTTCAACAGATATTTAGAAACAAATTTGTGTTAGGAAAATATGTAAAACATCAAAATGTGTTTTCAGAAATTAATTCATATCATTCTTTCTAAAATGGTAGTACGCTAGATAACCTAAGTACAGGTTAGTAAATCCTATAGGTATGGAATTAGTGAGGTTGGCACACAGAAAAGGAGGCAGGCCCACGACAATCAAGTGTGGGCTGTGTTAGTGTAGAGAAAAGAGTGAGTAGCATAAACAATATTCAACGTCATAATGGATATAATGTCTAAAAAATATTTAAAAATGTGCTGACATAAGGTAAGAGTTAGAATACAGGGAGAGGGACTATAAAGTATTCATTCTAGGTCATGGAAGAGCCATAGTAAACATGATATCACAATAGCTAGGATTGCCTGCATGGGAAGGGTTTTCTAAGCCATACCTGAACTTTGTTGAGCTATTAGTCTATTGGCAGTTTCTGTGGGAAAAACAGCATTGTTTTCATTTGTATGATCACGGGTCAGCCTACCTGGCTTTAATAGGTAGTTCAAAACCTATGGCTATGTAGACCTCCTGGTTATGCTCATAAGAAAAACACAGAAAGACAAGGATGTGAGAAAATGACTTAGAGCATAGGCAGGTGGTACACAGGGTGACGGAGCTATGTCTAATCTGGAGAGAAATCGAGAATGTATCATATTGGTGCATGAAATTTCTAGAGAACAAATTATAAAAGCTGTTTTTAAAAGTCATTCTCTATACAACCATTTAAAAACTGCACTTGTGTATCCTGTTGCAATTTTCACACTTAAAATGAAATTAAATAATCAAATTCTTTTTTGTAGAAGCACAATAGTACTATTACTTTGTTTTATGTCTGCTAAAATTTTAAAGGCCCAAGAGACAATAATTAGTCATGCTCTGTTGCAGAAATTCAAATCCTTTCTTATTTGATATAAACATATAAAAAGCAAAGAACACAGAGAAGCATTGTAGTTTGCTTTTGAATGGTTGATGTGATTTAACTTGAAAAATGAAACAAATGTGAGTAATTATTTAGGCTAAAATATATTTTCACTGAAACTGAGATATATCAGCTCGTGGTTCTTTAATTGGGATTATAATTATCTAAATTTAAAAGTGATTTTCTCAGGTACCAACAGCAGCATGAAATATGTCAAGGGGCATAGCACAGCATTTTAAACTGCTAATTGCAGTCCCACACAGAAAAGCAGGATAAAAGTTTCATATCTCCTCTGGTCAAGAAAATTTTTTGCAAATGCGCCTGCATTTGACTATGTTTAGTATCTTCACAATTAAAATAAAATCTGTGGATTAGAGTAGCATGCTTGTCTTTGGGTCAGATTGTTCTGTAGTTTATACCTCAGAAAATGCACTTATTGAAGCCTATAAACAAAGGTGTCAGACAATTTCACAAACTCAATGCTTGTAGTTTCAAGCCCTGAAATTCGAGAATGTTTCCAATCTACTTAATTACAAAAGAATGTTCATTTGAATTTAGAAGATTCTTTCAGAGAGAGAAATAGTAACATGGGGGTTTATCAGAATGTGAGCCATGACATTTTATAAGTCTAATTATAAAATAATATAAAATATATTAATTTCCAGACAACGAGGCATCTATAATAAATGCTGTTGGCACAGGAACATCAAACGTAAGGTCTAATTAAAAATAAGTATTATTATAGAAACAGCAATAAACTGAGTATTTATATGCTCTCATATTTGCAAAAACTAAGCATTATTT